CGAAGAATAGGCTAGCCCCAATGAGCAGGTCAATACGCTGTGGCCTGAAGAACTGCGGATCTGCCAATGGTAAATTCGGCGGAATTTTCCAACCAGAAACGTCAACTGAAAAGCTGGGCTGCTGCTCGGTGATTGTGGGAGCTACCAACGCGACGAAAACTGGTACTGTAGTCAGAGGCTTGGGACTGCAAGTTGAGTCCCACAGTATAGCCCTCCGATACAAAACTGGAATCCCCAAGACCCGATACTGCGGCCGACGACATGGTCCTTTTCAGTCTAAGTTGTTGGGCGAGGCTGGAGGTTATAAGGTGCATTTGTGATCCGGAGTCCAAGAGTGCCCGACATGGTACGAGGGGATCCAGCACGATCCCTCAGCAGAACAACTGCAGTGGCTAAGAGCACAACATCCCTGCAAGAGTTCTGTGCAACCAGAGAGGCAGCTGAGGACTGTGGCTGCGCTTCAGGGTGCGGGAATGAAGAGACAACGGGTTCCGTGGGCGAGGGTCTGGCGTTTAAATGCAATAAGGTGTGATGTTTGCTACCACAGTGACGACAAGTTGATGACCTGCAAGTGCGCAATTGATGGCCAGCCTTCAGGCAATTCAGGCAAAGACCAAGCTTTTTCACCTCAATTAGGCGAAGGGACGGCGAAAGATTCCCAAACAGCGCGCATGTATATATGCTATGGCCAGCAGTATTGCAAAATAGACACTCAAGAGAAACAGACTCAGTGGCTACAAATGAACTTCTAGGGTTGCTCTGTACTTTTTTTATCTTTCCCACCTGAATGCCAGGCGTATACATTGCCATAGCGTGCTCCCGATTCTCCAACTTCTGACATCTTTGCTCCAGAAAAGCGGTGAATTGTTGGCTTGTGGGTATGCTGTCCAGCGATGACGTTTCCTCCCACTTGGCTTGCGTAGCGCTGTCCACATTCTGCAGCAGGCTGTGTATCAAGATACAGTCTGCAATCTGCTCCGTTTTTTCCCATACTCTGCAAAGCCCGAAGATTAGAATTCACAGTGTCCGACAAAGACCGAAGTTGAGACACAGACGAAGCCTCTACGCGCGGAACACCCAGAATGTCCGTGACATGCGCCTGAAAAATTAAACGTTTGTTATTAAAACGCTTATCAAGGAGGTCTAGCGCGATGGGATAGCTGGCGTGCGTGAACTCTAGAGACGAAATAGTGTCTAGTGCTGGTCCTTTCAGGCAGGAACGCAGGTGCTGCAGCTTCTCCACATTTGACAAATCGGTATCCTTGTCTATTATGGAGGAAAACATGCTCCAAAACGAGGAATACTGAGCGTAGCCACCACTGAACTCAGGAAGCTTCAACTCCGGCAGGCGTGGCCGACTTTGCACAACGACCGTAGTTGGGGCCTCTCCTACATGGTCCGTCCGCATTGTTGAGCATGGTAGCATTGTGGGCTGCCGCTTGTTTAACTCCCGTTTCATGCGAATCTCCAGCATGACCACGCACTCGTCAAACTCCTCCCTCAAGGGACTACCGATTTCATCGAGATCAATCCTCTCCAGGGCATTATGGTGCTCGTTGAATGAAACTACAAGCTCCGCTAGCAATTTCAGCCTCACGTTCAGCTCCTCCTCACTGAGCTCGCCAATTCTCTCCTTGCCAACGGCCGTTTCGATTCTCCGTGCTGCCCCTACCATGGATTGCACCTTGCGCTTGTAGAATGCAGCTTCCGAATCGACGAACAATGGTGAGGGGGGCAAGAGTGAGGGGGTGCTATTAGAAGCCATTGGGTAGGTTTACGACGCACTGGGTTACAGTTTCTGAAGCACGGAGAGGTTAATAACCGGTGAATAACCTCGAACAGTTTGATAGGAACTGCACACTCGATCGCAGCGCTCAAACACACGGGCTCACAGTTCTACAGGCCAGCAGCGAAAGTTCACAGTTTTAAAAGAACTGAGTAGGTGCAGCTGACAACAACAATGGCATGCACACTTAGAGCACCGAAAACCGAAACGAAACAACCGCAAGACAAACCGCAAAGCAGATGACGCGAGAACCGTTTATGTTGCTTGTGCAGTGCACAGACGCCGAATCGAAAAACCGTGGTACAAAGCGAATTAAACAACCGACAAGTGTTATTTGCAAGGCATATATATGTGTATATATATAAATATATATCGATTAGATCACGTCGGGATCACGTCGGGGTCACCAAAATGTTGAGCTATTGAGATTTTTCAATAGCGTAGAGTTAAATCGACAATTTGTACTTTGATTAATTCACAACACAGTTTGTTTGATTATGTTAGTTTCTTTATTTTCCATGCAAGGCGAGTGGGAATAGAATGGGCAAGAGTTAGCAACAGGCGGACCCGTGGTGGACCGTGTTGCAGCGAAAACAATAATGGGTTTTTGTATAAAAGTTAATAACAATGTAGCAGGTCACTGTGCCAACCGACGATATGTTGTACGTTTTATGATGCTAGATTTCGAAGTGTTTCTGCTGCGCAGACGAGCCTCCCTCACAGCCTTCGTCGGCTGACGATTTTCGGGAGGGGGAAAATGACTCAAGAGCGCAGAGTCAGGTAGGCAATGTTGTGAGCTTAGCTCTGCTCTCTTTGCGCTGCCATGGGCCGGCGCTTAGCCGAACAGAGGTCATATACATCTTTATTTTTAGCGTCCAAAATTGCTCGCTCACTTAACCATTTAGTATTTTTGTGGTTAGCAATGATATCCGGGAATACTTTGTTGATAAGCTCGCCTTTTGATGATACGAAATTGCAAAAATTTGGAGGAAATGAAATCAAACCGCTCGATTTGTCAACAGGAACACGGCCATTACCGATAGTCAGCAATTGCTTCGAGAAATCATCAGCAGATAGATCGTTCAACAATGCAACTCTCATATTTACAGACAGTTGAAGTTTCTTTACATATCGCCACAGATTTGATGCTTTGAGGCAAGCGTTTATTTCGTCGGCAGCAGTAGATCTTGGAATGACTGGTAGTGTTTGTCGGAAATCGCCAAATAATAAAATCATTGCACCATCAAAACATCTCGAGTCATTGTTCTCTCGCTGTTCTCGTGCACAGAGTTTGATGCTTGCACAGGATATTTAGAGATAATTCAATCTTTCCAATTGTTTGATATTTCCACGAAATAGCTGACACGGCAAACTTCGTACCGCCTAATAGTCAATGAATGTCGTGTTACTTTTTAGCTGAACTAATTTAGGCTTTATTTTCATTCAAGCACTTTGTGGTAAACGACATTCTTTGTTTTTTGGACAGGCGCAAGAACAAATAAAGCGGATGGTTTGCCGACACGTGAGCATGCCACGTACAATTGACCATGAGAAAAACATTCATTTTCTAGATTGAGGCCGCAAATAGTCAAGGATTGGCCCTGTGATTTGTTGATCGTCATGGCGAAGGCAAGACGAATCGGGAATTGAATTCGTTTAAACTCAAAGGGCATATCCGTTGGGATCTTCGGAATCCTTGGAATAAGAACTTCCTCATCTTTAAATTTTCCTTTAAGTATCGACGCGTGAATAACATTACTCATCAGTTTTCTTATCACCAAACGCGTTCCATTACACAGTTTTGGTTGGTTTAAATTTCTAAGAATGATGATTACCGAGCCAACTTTAAGTTTTAAATTGTGCGGTGGTAAACCAGGCACATCCAAGGAGTTTAAAAATTCAGTTGGATAATTAGTGGCTTCTTCTTCGTTTGTTACACAGTCGATAGATTTGAATGAATACAGAGTACCTGCGATTTAATTTTGAGTTATAATATTGAGGTCATCTACATCTTTATTTTTAGCGGCCAAAATTGCTCGCTCACTTAACCATTTAGTATTTTTGTGGTTAGCAATGATATCCGGGAATACTTTGTTGATAAGCTCGTCTTTTGATGATACGAAATTGCAAAAATTTGGATGAAATGAAATCAAACCGCTCGATTTGTCAACAGGAACACGGCCATTACCGATAGTCAGCAATTGCTTCGAGAAATCATCAGCAGATAGATCGTTCAACAATGCAACTCTCATATTTACAGACAGTTGAAGTTTCTTTACATATCGCCACAGATTTGATGCTTTGAGGCAAGCGTTTATTTCGTCGGCAGCAGTAGATCTTGGAATGACTGGTAGTGTTTGTCGGAAATCGCCAGATAATAAAATCATTGCACCTCCAAAACATCTCGAGTCATTTCGCAGATCTTTTAATGTTCGGTCTAGTGCTTCCAATGCGCGTTTGTGCGCCATTGTGCATTCGTCCCATATGATGATTTTTGATGCTACTAAAACTTTGGCCATTGCGGAGTGTTTCGAAATGTTACATGTCGGTTGTTCAGTAGTTTGAAGGTTTAATGGCAATTTTAACGCTGAGTGAGGCGTACGGCATCCGTCTAACAATGTGGCCGCTATTCCAGAAGAAGCAATTGCTACCGCAATTTCGGATCTAGCACGTACAGTGGCCAAAATCAATGACATGAGGAATGTCTTCCCAGTTCCACCGGGGGCATCCAAAAAAAATAAGCCGCCATTTCCATCATCAATTGCATTAATCAGTGTATCATAGACTTCCCTCTGCTTAGGATTCAACAGAGGTACATTCGTTTGAACTGATTGGATTAGTTCATGTGGATCATATTCACGTTCACGTTCCAATTCTCTATTAAATGCGTCATTCATTCCGCGATCTGGCGCTGGCATTCCTAACCTAACTAACAAACTGCCGAACATGAGGTAACACATATCTTCGATCAAGAGCAAAGTCTGGTTATGGATCTCCTCATTCACCTAAGGATCGTATTTTTTTGAGCTGACTCGAATTCGATATAAAATATCTTCTGACATGTTATCTTTGTATTTGTTCCACAGGTCACGTGGGTTCGATGGGAAGCATGTTGAAATGATGATAGCAAATAATGTGCGAATCTGACTTGGAGATGCAGAAATAATTGCTTCAGCGATTGTCGTGTCCCAATGAGTATCGTTTTCAAGCAAATTTAGCTCTTGACATGCTGCACGAAAAGTGGGGCACACAATACCATTAACAGTTCGTAGTGATTCAAATGATGTTGGCCCTCGAACATGTACCAGCAACAACCGCAAATAGAAACATTCATCATTCTTCGGATGAACTGTGTAAATACGACCAAGAGCATCTGTAGAACGCATATCTGGATGACCAGGAACTGCATCGCCTTGCTTCCGACGTTGAAATTTCTTCGATGTAGCGTTCCAAGTGTAATAACGTGGCATTTCTGAGTAAAGCAAAGTTCGAGCGAACGGATCGCTTTGACAAATCGCAATGAAACTGGTCAGTGTTGTAGCTGGAGGTGTTTCGGCACGTTGAGCAGCATTCGACGCTGTGAAATATACTCTCTGACCGTTCTCTAGATGCGCCCCCAAATGTAAAACAGTGGGATGACGTTCGTGAATAGGGAATGAAAATATACGCCAAATTGCTTCATTGCAGTTCACATATCTACCAACTTGATAGCGCGTGATTTCATCGTTGGTATTGGACGTTTGGATACCAAAAACCGCCATGTCGCTCCCTTTCGTGACATATTTGCAAATGTATTTAATTGACTTGACCGAATTGCAATACTCAACATTACAATGTGCTTTGAATGTTTTGGAAAGAAGTGGCGAATATGGAACAATCCAACTGTTGTCAACTACGAAATCGTTTCCTTTCACTTTAGTTTTGATAGTTCTACCATTATCATCGGGTGATCGACGCCGATACAATGGATAACCATCGTTGCCTGTAATGGTCTCTGCCGTCAATTTTCGTGGATACCGTTTGGAACACTTGCCGTCGACCATGCACGGTGATTGTCGGTTGATAGTGCCACACGGTCCATGAATCATATTCGTGACTACAACATCATGTAAGTCTGGATCGGTTTCAGGAGCAGGAATCTCCGCACATATGATGTCATCTATTTGATCTGGCCGAATTCTTTCGACTAACCAAATCAGAATGTGAGCATGCGGTAGGCCTCGTTTTTGCCATTCGATTGAATACATCCAGCATCGAGTATTCCCAAAGACGTGTTGCTTAACAATGTAATTCATTAGTGACCGAATTTTTTGCCTGAAAACACGTGCGGTGATGTCGTGTCGATCACTTGATGTTTGTCCGGGAAGCAGCAATTGAATAATTTCTATCCATTTCGGATTACATGTAAATGTAATGAATAGATCTGGCCGACCATAATGACGAACATATGTCATTGCATCTTGCGCATATTCATGCAAATGACGCGGGCTACCTATGTATGTCGCCGGTAAAATAGTCAACCGACCAACATTTTCTGAATCTCCTTCTGTGCTAATTGCATCGCGTAAATGGATATACTCTTCCGAACGCAATTTAGCTTGATTCAACCGAATGAAAGTCAGGCGCTCCGTTTCGATTTTAACGTACATGTCAACGCAATATTGTTGAAACAGTGGACGAAATCGCAACAAATAATTGTCAGAATTTTCACGAATCATCAAACGATATGCGTAATAATTCATCGAACTAACCTTCTTGGTAGTTTCCTCACCTGAAACAAATGCAGTAAAAATTGTATTTTAGAACCCGTAATAGGTTAACGACTCTTACAGCTACTCTCTACTAAATTAGAAATTACAACTTTTTTTGAGTACTAAAAGCAAACAGAATAAAATGTATATCAAGTTAAAATGAAAACAACAATATTGATCTTACCATTCAATGGATTAATCATTTTGATATTAAAGTGATATCCATCGTCTCCTTGCCAAGACATCAGCGGGTATTGTAACGCGTCATATGAACGGTGTGTTTCATATATTCTTTGTAGTTGCCCAGTATTGCGTCGTGTAAGTACAATATCACGTGTTTCCAAGTTTTCACCAACAATCAGGATTGCCACTTCATCGATTGTTGGAGCATTAAATGTGCGTTCATGTGTTCCAGCTGGTCTTTTATCTGCTCTGATCACAACTTTATAGTCATCACTTGGCATGCGCTCTAAAGCAGTCTTGAACAGTCTGACCAATGCATGATGTTCATGAAGCATTTGCTGCAGATCTTGGAGAATTGCTCTTTTCGTAGCTGTGTTGATCCCTTGACGCCGGTCAAGTTGTTCTTCCATATTGCCCATGAAGTATATTTGCAAGAATTTATGCTGTGCATCTTCTATAGGTTGCAATAATCCAATGCGATAGCAAATCTGGCCTTGAATCTGTAAAGTGAAATAATAACATGCCATTTTTATTTCAGAGACAAATACAGAAATCTAACAAACTACATTCCAGATTTTTTTTACAATGATAGAAAATAAAGTTTTTAACGTAAATTACCTTAAATGTCGGATTATATCCGTGTTCTTCGATAATTTCGGCCCCAAATGAAGTCATTTGGAAACAGACATTGTATTTTTGAGTGTTCGCTAGAAAATGTCGTGATTCTAAGGTTTCGCCATAAAGCAGGGAGCGCAATGGCTCTGGTGGCGGGACCAATAATGGCAATTTCACTTTACCACTATGGCAGCACAAACCAGGCGTTTCACCAGCAAACTTCAATGCTCCACAATGCTGGCAAACAACGTCCATTGGACCAATGCAAACTAAACGATGCAAGCTGTAGTCGATGGTGCAATCATACAGAAACGCTGCTCGATTCAAATCAATACTTGAACCATTTCTTCTTGCACTGCGAAGATTGTTCCTCTGTTCATCTGTACGATAAGCTCGACGATTTCTCCTTTCTAACCTAGCCGTTTCAATGGCTGCCTCTCTTTGCTCTTGTCTTTGAGAAGCACGAATTAAGGCCCTTCTTTGCTCCATACTAACACGTCGCTGTTCTCGTGCAATTTCTCGTTCTCCATCATATAATTGACTCACGATATTCCGTTGCCTAATTGCATTACGGCTTCGCTGGGAAAGATTAGACCTTCTAGGACGCGGCATTGTTATTAAAATGTGCACTCGCATAAAACCACCAAACTGATTTTTTATTCCCTAAATTCCGTTCCTTTCCGATGATTTTATGTAGAATACTGTAGAATAAATCTTAGGTATTATTTTCGGGAATTTGACTATTTGACAGGATTGGACAGCAAATGTTTGACATGGAGAAAGAAAATCAATGAAAACTCGATATTTGTAATAAAAAAATCAAAATCTATTGAAGTGCATCTATTCATTGCGCATATCGAGTTTTTAAGATGTATTCTGCTATGGTAAAATAATTTGGAAATAAGGTCAGACTTTTTCCTATATCAATATCAATAATGTTATATGTTAAATACTTAGACAAGAACTTCTTCTTAATTTCACCACGTACTATTACGGTGCTAAATCTGTTAAGTGGTGATAGTATTTCACATAAACTTAAATACGATATTCCACCATCTGACCAGTCCAATCCATTTATGGACTGACGGTGCATGTTCTGCTGTTTAATCATTTCATGATCCAATTCATTTAGATGATATGGTGGTTTGAAATGAAAGAAGTTTGGCGTTACTGTTCCGGTTTCCATAAACGCCAGTTCTTTAATAAAAAGTTGTTTATTATTCCCAAAGAGATATTGAAAATCAACTATCACGCTTGAATTCCTGTTGATCGAGTTCATGTCGGCTTAAGATTTTGTAAGAAACTGAATGAGTCAGTGATATCTAACCCCTTTATATACAGCCCAATTCAGCAAGAGTTCTTAGTTTAAAAAAATCATTCAACCCTAATGGACACGCTGCAATCAAAAAGAATTAGGTCTACCAGAAAGAAGCAAGACCACGAAGTCATTTTCGGGCTCGAATATTATGTAGTACATAATTTAAAACTAAAATGCGGGTTTTCAACTACAAGAAAATTCACACCAATGATCTGGATGCAACAAAGCAAAAACAATTTCATTGGACTAGACAAAGATGAATGGATGCAGTTGATTACGTACAAGGAGTATATTCAATTAAAACTTGATCAGTATGATTTCTTGATGCCTGATACAATTATAGATCATCCCCTATTGACCACTATTAAATGTAATTTTAGATTCAGAAAATCCGATAAGCAGTATGTTTTTATAATAAATCAGTTTGGAAATAAGATTGAAGTTGATAGCGAGTCCTGGAGATCATTTTTAAGATTAGGTATATTTTTTACAACATTTTTATGTTGGAATACGATACTTAAACAACAAATTACATTCCTGTACTATAATAATATTATTCCTAAATGCGCTGCTTTACAAAAATTTGATATTCAACTCTCTGACTTAGACGGTACTTATGATAAAAATGTTCAAATAGATTTAACGCGTTTATGCTTTGAAATTTAAAAAAAAATGTATATTCAAATAAAACGTGATGTTCTTGAGTATAATCAATCACTTTGGAATACGCAATCATCCAGAAACAATAATAAAAAATAAAAATAAAAATGAGTAAGCAACAAGTTGTGAATGAAATACATAAGCCTGCCAGAAAAAACTTTATCCGACGTAAATTCGTTCAGATTGGCATTAATGATACTTGGCAAATCGACTTAGTTTAAATGATACCCTATTGTAAGGAAAATAAAGGATTTAGATATTTGCTAACTGTGATTGATACATTCTCAAAGTATGCATATGCAGTTCCCGTTAAGTAGAAAACAGCATTAGATGTGCTATCAGCAATGACGAAAATATTAAAACTATCTAACCATAAACCTAAAAATATTCAATCTGATCAAGGAAAGGAGTTTTTAATGCTTCCTTCACGGAGCTTATGAAAACAAATAACATAAACCATTACCATACATATACACACCTAAAAGCATCTATTTGTGAACGTTTTAATAGAACATTAAAAAATCGTATGTGGAAAATGTTTAGTATGCATGGAAATCATACCTGGATTCATAACTTGAACGATCTAGTAAATGATTACAATAATTCATATCATCGAACCATAAAAATGAAGCCTGCAGATGTCAACAAGCAAAATGAGGAGTTTATATTGAAAACAGCTTATAATATTTGTAAGGTTTTCCCTAAACACAAGTTTTCCATTGGTGATCCTATTAGAATAAGTAAATATAAAGGTATTTTTACAAAGGGATATGAACCGAACTGGACAACCGAGGTTTTTAAAATTTCAAAACTAAAGTCTACCAGTCCAGCAACATATGAACTGGAAGACTATATGGGGGAAATGATTAAAGGATCATTTTATGAACAAGAACTTCAGAAATTGAAAGATGAAAATGCTTTCTTAGTGGAAAAAATAATCCGACGAAAGAAGGATCATTTTTTTTGTTAAATGGTTAGGGTTTGATGAAACACACAATTCCTGGATAGATAAAAAAAGTATATTAAAATAATTAAACAGAAAGAAAAATTGTTTTTTTTTCACGTTTTATTTTTTTATAACATTCAAAATAGTTTAAATTGCATAATAACTATAAATATTTTTTATTTAAATTTTTTTATACTATATGCGCATTATTACTAGGATCTATAATATTTACAATTTCAAAGTGATTATGTGCTGACGTTGAAATATTATCGGGTAATATAAATCTTTTGTCATCCTTATAATTTAGACTTATCTTATTTACAATTTCAGTATAAATTTTATGACCTCTACTTCTGATTACTCGCTGCTGTCCATAATATGTTTTTTTATGTTTAATGCATTCAATATACTGAGCATGCGATAATCGTTTAACTACCGACTTTTTTACTCCTTTAATCTTTTTAACGTTATGGTCAGTGCTATTATCTTTGGCAACTAAATAAGAGTATGCTTTCGCTTTTAACCCTGCAAATGAGGTCATTATACGACCCGCATTTTTGTCTTTCATTAACCCTAGTTCTTTGTTATTGGCCCGATTTATCCCGAAAATGTTTGACTCTTGGTAATTTGAGGTATCAAAGCGACTAGGATTGTCTTTAATTAACCCATAAAAATCTTCTTTTGATGATATAATAAATGAATCTGTATCCATGTAGAGTATTTTTGATGATGGGCATTTTAGAGAATGAAAATTATAGAAATAGTCATACATTAACCATTTTGAAAGTTCTAGTACACAAACTCCAATGTATATGGGCTTATCATATAAAATTCTTGATTTAGTAGACTCAATGGCAGCTAAATTTTTACCAAAGATGTCAACACTGTGAAAATTATGCGTTGCTATGCGTTGTCTAAACCCTGCGGAATTTTGTCTTGAATTATAATGTTTAATTAATGCGACCTCACATCGCTTTTCTACATTCTCCATCGTTTTACCGTAGACAGCATTAACCATTAATTTATAAAAGTTTATCTCAAACTCATTCTTAGCTACTTTTCTATGGAATGTATTTAGATCAATATAGGGTTTAAGCCAACAGGATTGCTTAAAAGATAATACTCGCGATATTTTTTCTAAAATCATCCCTTGTTCTATGCATAACTGCAACTGTTTCAAATGTATTATATAATTCTTTTTATCAGATAAATCCGCTATCAATTTTGATTGTTTTCCGCCTGGAGGAATCTTATTTTCGGGGCAGAATGGTAAACTATTATGTTTATTGTGTATAGAATCAGGATATTTCAGATCTACTTCTAAGATGTATCCTACATCCCCGCAAGCAGATATACTTATAGCGTTGAAAGATTGAATTTCATCGTTACTTAGAAATTTGAAATTGGAATATGGTAGTGGCTGGCTCATTGCCCAACCATATAAATTGTTGGCATCAATGTACGCTAGATAGTTTATAGGATCATTAGCTCTGAACCTTTCATTTAAATATTTATTATTTGCCGTAGCTATCCGTTGAGTGCATTGAGTTAACCCTCCGCGTACTGAAGTTTTCAAAAAGTTATATATATCAGGATCACTAACTAGCTCCAATTCTATCTTTGTATATTTGAGCATTGCATCCCATGAAACAGAAGGAGCAGTAACATAATTTATTGGGTCTAACTTATATATTCGTGAGCAAATACTCCTAAAGTTTTCAAACACATCAGCAAGAATTAAAACATCGCTTTCCAAGTATAATTTCAAATAATCTCGAATACTGCTGCAATTAAATGTTCTCCAAACCTTCTGAGCAAAGTTATAGTCTTCTAAACTACACTCCTCATCACTCAGTGAGTTGAAAAAAAATTCTCTCGAAGGTAGTTGGGGATCGTCAAATTTGTTTGTAAGGAAGCGATCTAGGCCGGGGTACAACTCTCAGTCACGCCAGGGTCGAAATTACAGAAATATTTATAATTTGCCGGGACTCCGAGTCTTAAACCACCAACGGGGCGGAGAGTGGGTCTCGTGGCGGGGAATCGTGCAATTGTTCCCAGGGGGCACCTGGGCAGTCGCCGGGCGGCACCTCTGGGAAGCTACCGGGCGGGAAATTGGGAAAATCATTCCCAGAAGGCACCTGGGCAGTCGCCGGGCGGCACCTCTGGGAAGCTACGGGCGGGAATCAGGAACATTATTCCCAGAAGGCACCTGGGCAGTCGCCGGGCGGCCCCTCTGGGAAACTACGGGCGGGCTACGGGAAACATTATTCCTGAGAGGACACCTGGGCAGTCGCCGGGCGGCACCCTCTGGGAAACTACGAACGGGAAATAGGGAACATTATTCCTAGAGGACACCTGGGCAGTCGCCGGGCGGCACCTCTGGGAAGCTACGGGCGGGAAATCGGGAAAATTATTCCCAGAAGGCACCTGGGCAGTCGCCGGGCGGCACCTCTGGGAAACTACGAACGGGAAAGAGGGAACATTATTCCTAGAGGGCACCTGGGCAGTCGCCGGGCGGCCCCTCTGGGAAACTACGAGCGGGAAATGTGGAGGAACCATCTGTTGCGCGTATTCCCTGCTTGTTCAACAGAAATCCCACAAAAGAAGTCAAGACGGCGATTTTGACGTTTGCTTTGCTGGCCTTTTCCTGGCTCGTGGACCCT